ATATATATATATATATATATGATATGCGTATTTGCACTATACAGGATCTTCATTTTATTTCCTGTGAAGCTAGCAGCGATTATCCTTTCTTAATTTAGCCTTATGGCTTTAATATGTTTGCGCCTTTGAGTATATCAGATGCATACTTGCATTCATCATCTAAAAGGCTCATTCGTGTCTTTTATACCGAAAATTTTCACCAAAAGCTGATTTGTTCTCATATCTGGCTTTTATTCTATCTTCTTATCCTATTTTTTCATCATAAAACTGAAGCTGTTCAACTTGTTATAACCGCCTTTGGGGCCTCGTGGAATTACTTTTTATCTGATCTCGCCTGTTCTCGCTTGGCCCCCTTACAACATTTCCATTAATTTATGAATACCCACATGCACATATTCGTGTCCAAAGCATCATTTTCTATTCTACCCTGGTATTTTAATTTGTATCTCCTGATGATTTAACACGTGTTATATTTCTTTCTACCTTTTTTATTTATTATCCTATTCTTCTTTCCCATTTTTTGCCGACATTGTTACCCTCACTTTTTTTCCATTTTCAAGCAGATTTGAACAGACTTGATGTAGCTGTGCATACATGTGTCCTTATAAATGCTCATCCCTTTCTGCCTTGATCACTCGATCTCAGCTGTAACTATAATGCTACAATTCTCTTCACCCCTTGCTTTTTCCTCTAACTACCTCGAGACGACTGAATAAACGCTTGCAAGCAGACTACTTCCATATCCACATTTGATTTTATACAGATAACACATTTATATGACTAGAATATCTAATTGATTTCCTGATAATAGTTTCGCCTTTTTGTCTATAGCGAATATCGTAAATTCGCGACAGAGCCTTGGCTACCGAAATGGTTCTCCTGCTTCGCAACTAAATCTATCTTGTATATTAGTGGTCTTACCTCGTTTTTTCAACTTTTTTGTGTTGTCAGGGTGGCCTAGTTTGGCGAACCTTGCTCGAAGCCCTTTGCTATAGTAGTTATTTTAATTCCCAGCGTTGGACCGTGGACTTGGTACTGTCTTGGCACATGAATTGTCTGGCAAATTTTAGCTTAATGTCAAGACTGACAAGATTTATTGACAATGCCGATTATGATGAAATGTCTGACAATGTACCAAATCCACAGTCCAATGCTTGCAATTATCATAACTGTTATAGCAGAGGATTTCGGACAGGGTACATCCAATTAGGTCGCCCTGACAACACAAATAAGTTGCTATATATATATATATATGAATTGGGAGATTCTTTGAAACCCAACTTTTTTTACATGAAAATTTAACACGCAATTCTATAGCACCTTACTCGACCTGAAGCAAAGCAATTTTTGTATAAGCTTACTAACAGCTCTCATTTCAATTATTTTGTCTTGTAGTCCACAAGGCTGAAACTAGTGTCATGTTTTACGAGCACAGTTTGACATATCCTTAGCGCGAATACGACTTCATCAGCGAAATGACGCTGGGTGGCTTCAAGCCCACTCGTCGTTATTCTCCATTTGCTCCATTGCTTTAATTTCGGGCCACATTTGTCAGATCCCTAGTCTACTTCCAATTGGCGCCAAGTGTATGGTTTTGCAATGGTGGTGCTTTTTTCGAGCAAATGGGTCGCCTCCACTTTCGCTTAGGGATGGCATCCATCTGAGCCCTTCAGAGGTTGCCATAGCAAGTAAGCAAGTTATGCCTTCACTTGTTGTTATGACAACCACTTCGAGGTAGAGCTTGATTAGTAAGGATCGAATGGTGGGACTGTCTTCTCTCATTAGGTGTGGCTTGTGTAGCTGTAGGGAATATAGGCAAATAATTTCGTGTCCAGCGCGCACATTTGTCATAATTACCCTGAATGATTAGTCGTTTGTCCGAAATGGCCTTTCAAATAACTGATCTTTTTTCGCTAGGCACTAGCTCTGTTGTAGGGAGTGCTAGCGATTCTAGCCTCTATTTAGCTGAAAAGAGCACTTGATTTTGCATTGACATCCATCGCTCCATTGTATCAAATTCTCATCCAGACTGGACTACTCTTTTGGCCTTGCTTCTAGCGTTCTATTAGCCCCTTAGCAGGATTGCTACCATCAGTCCCGATGACTGCGACCAGCCGAATTACGGCATCATTTGGTTTGTTCGCCCAACACCCAATTCATTATTGGGCATTCGGTACTCATTGTGGAAAAATTCATTTATCATTGTTTCATTACCTTCTGCCGCCTAGAGTGACACTAATTCTACGTTAGGATTTCTTTATAGTCTCGAAAACTGACTTTATCTGAAGACAAATATCCTAGTCGATTGTATTGAGAGAGTGCAAATTTGCCTCATCTACAATCCCACCATAACTGTGGCATAGAAAAGCCTGATTGGTTCGACATCGTTTTCGCAACTTGTCCTATGTCGATGTGCCAAGTCAAAAGTCCCGACCAAGTTGCGAAAACGATGTCGAACCGACGCCATACAGATAAGGTAGACTGCAATCACACAAAAGCTCACACCATCATGGTCTTCATGTCTAATATTGAATAAAATTCATTGATACCGAGAGGCCTACTAATACAATTGGGAGCAACTATTATCTTTTGACCTTATGTCAACTTGTATGTTTAGCAACTACTCATAGCCTCGAAATATACTTCCTAGAATACGATTCTTCCGAAGTGTGTAAGTGCAAAGCAATCTTGCGCCGTTATTATGTTTCAGTTTGGCGTTTCAGGTTTCATTCTTATTATGAGAAGTGACCCTTAAACCTTTCTCGGTTCCAACCGTCTGTACAACATTCGACGATGCATATGGCATGTCTTTCTCTTAGAATTGTCCCAAAGTAACGACACATTGGCGGAACCCGTGACGACGTTGTTGGTCAGCATGTCAATGATATTTAGCTTTAGAAAGTGTCATCCACAATTTTTGTTATCCCTCTTCAATTAATTCATTCGTCGTCACGTCGCAATTGAGCTGATGCCATCTTATCATAATTCTCCTGTTACCAGGTGATTCATGTTTCTGAAGTTCATTAAATATAGAGGCCCGAGGCTTCGATAAACCCGTTAATTTGCGCCTATATGTGCCCCTGTGCATGCTGGTGTTGCCACACTAAACTCGTCCTCACCTGAGCTTTGTAGCTGCCGGGGCTTTTCGCTATCAGATCTTGTATCACCTCACCCGGCCTAGGCTGACTAAAGTGCTTATTCAAGAATGCACACTCACATTGAAAATAAATTCCACTATCAGGCCTTAACATCACCTTAATCTCCCATTGTTGACATTGTGGCATAATAACTGGCTCAGCTGGGCAGTGGGGCATTGCTGCTACTGCCTGATCTCTCTTCAATCAAGAAGTCGCATGATGAAGAAGAGCCAGGCCAGCAAGCAGCACTTGGCTTGGTCAAGCCTCTTTGCTCTCAAGGCCTGAGCGTCCTCGTCTGGGGACGTGGCATTCTGGCCTCAAAGGCCCGATTAGCATCCCACCTGACCTTTGCAACAGTCACGCTGAAGCGTCAACTTTGCTCTTCACGCAGAAGAAGAAGATGCTTTTGTACTTTTGTAAAATGATCTCATTCATCCTCGTCATATTCTTTTGTTCACAATACCTTTTTGTTTATGACCACGTTGCCAGGCGACGATTCTATTTAATGTCGAAATAGGCTCATTTCACTCTTTCTGACATTGCAAGTATAAGTAGCCTGAATTAGGCTTTGCCCGGCGGTGGTAACTGCCTTTAACCAGCCTGCCAACTTGTAGCGTCTGCTTAAGTTTCATCTACCCCTTGATGGTGGGCATCTGGAGGGCCGAAACAGACGGTCCCGGTGAGCCATTCGGATCTGTAGGCGTTGGCTCGCCGGAGCTCGCCGGTAGCTCGCGATCGGGCCGAGAAGCACTGTCCTCCCTCGAGTCGGTCAGACTGAGCGGCGTCTTACCCGGTTCGTCAGACCAATCGACATCAAATGGTCAGGCGGTTGGTGGGGCGTTGCTAGTCCCGGGGGTACCAGCAGCCCCCGGGGCTGAAGAAATATCCTCGCGCCGGTTGAACCTCTGCTTCAAGTATGCTTGGGCCCCGCACCTCCATCGTTGGAGGCTGCCTCATCACTTCTTTTCTGGGCCCGAAGTCGGCGAAGACGGTGAGAAAAGCCCAATTTCGTCCCGACAAGTGTTGGCCAGCAAACTGGCCAACTGTAAACTGCCAAAAGGATTAGCCTATGCCGAGTGGGCTTCTACGCCATATTCTGTCTATGGCCCCACCAGCTCGCGGCGCGACAACCTCTTCCAGGTTTCCACAACACAATTACACTTTGGCGACCCTCTACACCGACTGCATCAGTGTTCTAAGTGCTCCGCTTTTTAAGAGTCATACTTTTGAAACGCATGATCCGCATGTTCACTCCGCCATTTTGTGTACTTCATGACTGTGCCGGATGGCGAGCCAGGGTGGACATTCAGTCGAAGCCGACTGACTAATGATAGGCACACCTTTTGGAAAGTGAGAACAATTGGGTGCATGGCGGTGGAGATGAAGACCACTCGTCACCGGAGTTGTGACGCCACAATTTGGTCGCAGATTTTGAGTATCAAATGGACTAAATTAAAGAGCTCCAGCCACTTTGTTATTCCTTCACTCTCTAGCCATGCCAATCGAATTTGTGAGTTAATTTCCTCTTCTGTGCTCAGCATTTAGCGTCCAATGAGACTGTATAGCAAACCTCTACGTGAAAGTTGTCGTAAATTTGTATGGACGTATATATATTCGCAAAAGAGTGCGAAAGAGAAAGAAATATAGAGAATGCTCACATATCTTCCAACTGTTCAT